TGGAAATAGATGACAAGAAGGGCCATGCACGAAAGGTGGTGAACGCATGAGTACGCCCAACATAAGGCTGGGTTACGCCCACTATATAAAGGTAAAAGGATCGCAGGTGCTTAAGGCGTACGCCCAATGTCCAGAAACCCTAATTTTAGCGCCAACGACTATATAATGAACATATTGGCTCAAAACCTAGCCCCTTATCTGCCCCTTACCCTTTGAAACCCGAGATAGCTGTCCTCCCTCCATTCTTGGGTGTGTTTGACGCTGTGAAGCTTGGTTAGGAAAAGAAGAGCTTGGAAGAAGAAAGAAGATGTTGGCAAGGAAGGATTTGGGTGGATGGAGCTCATAGATCTGGGAAAGCATCATCATTTGATATACTCTGAAGGTATAAAGCTTCCAACTTTCCTCATAAAAGCTTAGATCGAGGTTTATGGAGCTTTGGACCTTTTTAGGTCTAAAGGATGGACCTTTATGATGCAAATTCATCTTTAAGCTTGGAATTGCCACCCTCGGAGCTAAAAGTGTCCCATAAACAGTAAAGTTTCAATTTGGGTGGTTCTAATGAGCTCATGCATGAGATCTAGCCCTTGTATGGAAGTATATTGTCACCTTTTTGAGTTTGGGTTTATTTGTGGGCTGCAAGTCACAAATTTAGCGACTTTATGGAATAAGACGTGGAAAAGGACCAGGATTTGTAATGGTAGCCTCTGATGTGAGTATTAGGCACTTAATGGGAAAAAGACTTAACTGAGGTATTACGCTAAGCCTACGTCCAGATACGCCCAACATACGTATCATTAGCCAGTACGCTTAGCGTACGTGAATGTACGCCCTACGTACTCTGTCAGTTTGGGCCTTGCGTTATTGGGCCTTGGTTTGGGTTGTGCTTTGGACTTTGGGCCTTTACACCACAGTGGGTCATCAGGAGTCAATTAATATGTGCCAAAATATGTTTTGGGCTTAAGGTAAGGCCTATTAAAGGGATTGGGCCCAATGGACCAAATTGGGCCATTATTGGGCCACTAGTGGGCTTGGGAAGCTTACCTAGTATTGGGCTTTGTGAATCATGGCAGTGGACCTTGGATATGTATCAAATTGGACTAGGATGGGTCAAAAGGTCATTCTACCCTATGAAGGATTATTGTATTGGACTAAGTGATGTTTTGGTATTGATAGCTCGGCGAGCCGAAGGAGCAGCGGTTTGGGAATTGTCTAATAGCAGCCAGAGGGATATCAGCAAGGATTCAGCAGTGCAAGGTGAGTTTTCTCCAGTAGGAACGGTTCTAAGGCACCAATGTCGGTCCATTTATGTGTGTTAGTGAATACCGGATTTAGATCCGATGTCGAGCAACGCCCGAGGAAGGTTTATATGTATATTTTCGAGCTACGGTTCGATGTCGGGTGGTACCCGAGGCAGTAGTGTAGGTGTAGTTATACTTGTTGTCTTTGTGATACTTGTATATGCCTGGTAGGGGATGAGTGTGGGCGGGGGCCATATCTCATCACTAGCTGAGTGTGGACGGGGTTCCATATCTCATTTGTAGTAGAATAGGGGCGAGGCCCAAGATAGGTGGGGCCTTGAGACTAGCAGTTATAGTATAATGATTGTGTTAGCTTGTTTATATGTTATTGTTGTATGTGAGTAGTGGGCGGGGCCTGAAGACAGGCGCAACCTGGTAGAAATAGATCTGTATACCGATCGGGACCGTATTTTGGGGATGTTTCAGAAGTCCACAATTACTAATGGGCATCTTGTCTCAATAAGGCCTAACCAATATATCTATGGCCCATAACAGATAAATTAACCCATAATTCACAAAATATATCATGCCCAATAATCTAGTGAGGCCCAAATAGCTCAAAGGCCCAAAAAAGATTCGACCCATCTGCACTGCGTGCGCTTGGCGTACCATCCTAGTACACGCAGCGTACTTGGACTTGCGACTACGCACGGCGTACACTGGATTACGCCCAACACACAACCAGTTTGAGCACCTTTTCCATTAAGTGCTTAATACTCGTTTCCTTTACGTCCAAAATCCAGATCTAAGTCTGTAAAGATGTCCTAAGGCATAAAGTTGGCAACTTTATGCCTGTGTATGTCTCATATACACCCAACCTCTCCATTAAGACCTTTCCAAGGTCTTTAACCCATGCATGAGGCCAAATCTCCCATCAAGCTTCCATTTTTATGATACTAAAGGACCAAGGGACCTCAGATCTGTCTTTCCCATCTTCTGGAGTTTCTCAACTCTCAATGGAGGTCCAAAATCAACCAAAAAGGCATAAGGTAGAAAACCCTAGCTAAATCTAGAGATTTAAGATGAAAGATCCAAGCTTTTTACCTCCAGAAGCTTTGCAAGATGACTATGATGTAGGATCTTGAAGCACCAACTCGTTCCAAGCTTGTATAACCACCTATTCTTCTTGGAATGAATACTAAAAGAGTCACAAATGCACTTTTAAAAGCTCAAAATGGTCTCACGAGTTTCTCTGGTGTGTAAGGATGTTCTAAGGAAGTGGAGGCTCTCTAGGGCTAAGTCCAAGGGACTTACGGTCGCTTAAATAGGTCTCATGTCCGAAAATTAGTTTTTTGAACCCTTGGCACGTAAGCCCGACATATGGCTTGGTACGCCTAGCATACCTCTTGTTCCTCCGCGACCAACCAGGCGTAGTATGATAAGCGTACACTAAAGTACGCCCAACGTACTTAAGGGACCACTTATACTAAAATGTAATTCTTGAGGGTTTCAAGACATACAAGATTTTGGAGTGTTACATAAGCGCAATTTGTTATATTAATTTATAGGATTCATAATATAAACCACCCTTAATTAGTACTCTCAACATATCAATAACTAGATAAATTGTTTTAATAAAAAGAAGCTAAGACCTTAACTCCTCCCGATTATTTAACTTTCAAAAAATCCATATATATTTTTTTTTATCAAACAATAAAGTATCAATGGAATAAGAATCAACTAATTTTTCGTTAAATCATATGGTTTTCCAATTATATTTCAATCGGTTTTTAAAACTTCTAATCAGTAGTGGCTGATTAGTTTTAACCGATTGAACTGATTGGTCTAATGTTTTTAAGATACCTGAACGGAACCGGTCTTGTCCATTAGTTTTTGATACCCCAAGCGAGATAAAATATTTATACCCTTATGTATGTTGTTGACGTGTTCAAAACCAGATATCCGGAATTCGAAAATCTAGAAATTCAAATACAAATTCAAATATAGAAAATAGATATCCGAAAACTCGACTTTGAATAAATTATAAATAACAAAATAGTAATCTACAACCAACTAAATACAAACTTACATTATAATTAAACATAATAATAAAACTAGAAATACAATATCAATTGGTCGTTTAACATAAATTATTATGACATTCAAATTACGGATTTTTGATTTTGACTTCATTCCATGAATGTGTTTAAAATTGTTGATTTTGACTTCATTCCATTCCACTTTAAGATATTTAAATTTTAATCAACGCACTTCATAGTTCATTTCTGGCTTTCCAATAGCATCACCCAAGCAACACTATGTTCTATGCTTCCAGTGTCCAAGGCTTCCAAGCAACACTATCTTTTATGCTTCCACACCAACAAAGGAATAACGACATGCATCCTTCTGTTTTAAATTTCAAAACACTTTGGAATTTCAAAAGAAAATTATATCGCACTCCTCCTAAATCACATAAACATAACACAAAATTTTTAAAAACTAACTCTAGAAATTTATAACTGAAGTACCTAAATCACATAAACATAACACAAAATTTTTAAAAACTAACTCTAGAAATTTATAACTGAAGTACCTAAATCACATAAGCATAACAAAAAAATTTAAAAAACTAACTCAAGAAATTTATAACTGAAGTAAACCATAGAAAATTAGTAGTTTTACTTAAAGCGACAATTTTCGAACATAGATAAGAGAAAATGGGACCTTATCATATAATCAAAATAAGAGAAAAATACCTTGAATTTGAACTCCATAAATAGAAGAAACCGAAACTGTTGTAATAAAATATAAATGAATAAATAATACCTTAGCAAACTTCTGTAATAAAACCTTAGCAAACTTCTGTAATCGAAGAAACCGAAACTGTTGTAATAAAATATAAATGAATAAATAATACCTTAGCAAACTTCTGTAATCGAACTCTAACATGCAACAATATAAATTGAAATCTAAAAGCTTCTAAATTATGACTTTTTCGGTGGTTTTCTTCAGAAAAATTGTAACATAAAAAATGGCAAGAAAAGATCACAAGATAATAAGTAATCATTCACCCAAATCCATCTTGGATCTTCGAAGTCCAACTTAACCAGGCACACAAATAGGAAATCACAATGGGTTTAAAAAGAAATAAAAGAGAAATCATCAAAGCCAAAAATCGCAGCAATCACTGATGGCAGTATTTTTATAAGGAACTAGTTGTGAAACTCGTATATTATACGGGTTAATTAAAACATAATGTTAAATAGTAACGATTAAATGAGAAGTTTATTTGAATTTGAAATATGAAATAAGTGAAAATTATGAAAAAAATAAATTAATTAAAATTATATGTTTAATTTTTAAACACGTATACTAAACGAGTTATTATAATAAAATGTTAAATACAAAGGTTTAAAGTGTAAATTTATTTGAAATTGAAACTAAATTTCAAATTTTAAATTTGAAATAAATAGTCATTATAGTATATTTAATTTATGGAAACTAAATTAATGATATAGTGGAAATAAATAATAAAGTAATTAACAAGTAGAAAATAAATATATTTTAAAATTATGACAAAATGATGTGGTCAATTAAATTAAATGAAAGAATGACAAATAACAATAATATGAGAAAATGATAAAAATAGCCATTTATACTAATGACATTACAAAAATAGCCAAAAATATCCAAATTACAAAAATAGCCAACGATTTCGCAGATGGAAATGCCCTATCTGCGAAATCAGCATGCCATCTGCGAATGTACAAGCATCTAAAGTACTGCTGTGCTTTAGGTGCTTGTACATTCGCAGGTGGGTTTTTTATTTTTATTTATTTTTTTATTTTTTTGTGTATATATAGGGGTAATTTCGCAGATGGAGAAGGTCCATCTGCAAAATACTCTCATCCTATCTGCGAAATACTGAACTTTTTTGTAATATATATATATATATATATATATATATATATATATATATATATATATATATATATATATATATATATATATATATATATATTACTATGAAATGAATTGATTTGATTTTTTGAGCAAATTGTAGAGAAAGTTCCTAAACAAATAACAACCAAAATGATATTTTTTTACAAAACTTTTTATATAGCAACATGATTTCGTAGTCAAACCAATTCATTTCATAGTCAAACTAAAAAAAAATTACAAAAAAGTTCAGTATTTCGTAGATAGGATGAGAGTATTTCGCAGATGGACCTTCTCCATCTGCGAAATTACCTCTATATATACAAAAAAAAAAAAAAAAAAAAAAAAAAAAAAAAAAGAAAAAAAAAAAAAACTTGCAAATGTACAAGCACCTAAAGCACAGCAGTACTTTAGATGCTTGTACATTCGCAGATGGCATGCTGATTTCGTAGATGGGGCATTTCCATCTGCGAAATCGTTGGCTATTTTTGTAATTTGGATATTTTTTGGCTATTTTTATCATTTTCTCCAATAATATATTAAAATGAGAATAACAAGTAGAATTTAAATTAAGAGGGATCTATAAATGTAGCTGTAGACGTAATCGGTAGATTTAATCTCGACCTTAGCCTCCAGATTTCGGACAGTATCCACGTCACAAAATTGCCTAAATGTTTGGACTGGATTTATGCCTCCTCTTCATGGATGCCTTGGGCCATAGCCCAACTCTCCCAGGTAATGGGCCGAGCATTAACTGACCCCATAAGTGTTGTTCTCTCGAAAATTTATTTATGTTTTCTATAGGTGGTTCATAATTTTGATAAACATATATACACGCTTTGTGTTGCGAAAAGAAGATTCAAGATACTGCCTTATTCTCTTTTAAGGAATCCCCAATAACCAAAGGGCTTGTAGCCCAGCGGTATCCGGTGTTGTCCTCCCTACTTAAGGTTGAGGGTTCAAGTCCCGTCGTGGATATAAGTGGATTTAAGGTGTAGTTTAGGAGTAGGTTAGATTTGCCGTTTCAAAAAAAAAAAAGAATCCCCAATAATTAAAACTCGAGATGTGTTCTACGAAAGAATCACTGCCATTACCTATCGGCAATTGAGCCTATGATTATTAAACCAAAATCATAGGAGTAAACAAAAATAATCAATAAAATAATAAAAAAATAAAAAGAAAGAATTGTTTAATAATTTCGAGGTCGCATCCACGACTAAATAAAAATTAGAGGAAATTCCATGAATGGTGGGTATGGTTTAAGATAATTTACGCGTTTGGTCCTTAACTTATTTTTTTTAATTCGGATGGTTCCTACTGTTTGTTCCTGTTACGCGTTTGATCTCTGTGTTACTTAAAAAGATTAGTTTGCCCTTGATTTTTTTAGTTTATTTAAATAAACACACTTTCAACCCAACCCTCTCACCTTACCTTAAATATCCTATCATTTTTTCCTATTTAATTAATAGGTTTTTTAGCTAATACAATGACCAAGGTTGTAATAAAAACAAATAATAGGGATAAAACGCGCAATAATAACAAACAGTAAAAACCTTACAAGTTAAAAAAAAATAGAGTAAATTACTGAAATGATCTTTATGGTTTGGTCAAAATTACACGTTTGGTCCTTAACTTTTTTTTTGCACTCGGATCGTCGCTGTGGTTTGATTTTATTGCGTTATTCGTCCCTATGGTTTGGTCAAAATTGAACGTTTGGTTCCTAACTTTATGTAAGTAAGGAACGAAAAACGCAACAAAATCAAACCACAGCGACGATCCGAGTGCAAAATAAAAGTTAAGGACCAAACGTGTAATTTTGACCAAACCATAGGGACCATTTCTGTAATTTACTCAAAAAAAAAAAAACTTAGAAACTAAATATACAAATTACCTTAAACCTTAGGGACCATTTGTGTAATTTAGTCAATAAAAGATTACAATTAGACCGTTGAATGTATATTCAAAGTTGGCGGTGCCGTTCTGGCAAGAATATATTTTACATAAACCTCCAATCTCGTCCTATAAATAATCTCCTATTTTCCATCGGTTATTCAAAGCTTCCACCGTTAGCAAAATGACACGGAAAGACGTTCTCGAACGTGTTCCGATTTCAAAACCTCCATTTGGCATCGGTGACCTCAAAAAAAACCATCCCACCACACTGTTTCAAACGTTCTCTTGTTCATTCCTTTGCCTCCTTCTTTCGTGATCTCATCATAATCTATTCCTTCTACTATCTCGCAGCAAACTACATCCCCGTTGCTCCCTCAATCCCTCTCCTACGTCGCCTGGCCTGTATATTGGTTCGCTCAAGGTAGTATTCTGATGGGGTTTTGGGTTCTTGGACATGAGTGTGGCCATCATGCCTTTAGCGAGTACCAATGGATCGATGATGCGGTTGGTTTCTTCATCCATTCTGTTACTCTGACGCCATACTTCTCGTTCAAGTACAGCCACCGAAGCCACCATGCACACACGAATTCAATCGAGTACGACGAGGTGTACATCCCAAAACGCAAGTCCGATACGTTGTTCTCTGAGTTTTTGAACAACGGACCAGGCAACGTGTTTACTCTTGTCCTTCGTATCACCATGGGGTTGCCTTTGTACTTAATCTTTAACGTTTATGGTCGTGATTACGAAGGGTTTGCGAACCATTTCTTACCACAAAGTGGTATCTTCAACAAGAGCGAGCGTGTTCAGGTTGTGCTATCGGATGTTGGAATCATGGCTGTTCTGTATGCGTTCTACCATCTCTTCGTGACACAAGGTGTAAAGTCAACGCTTTTTCTCTACGGAATTCCTTTGTTGGTGATGAGTGGTTTCTTTGTGTTCTTAACTTACTTAAATCACACACACCCATCGATCGCACACTATGATTCAACCGAATGGGATTGGTTAAGAGGTGCTTTATCGACAATCGATCGGGATTTTGGTATCTTGAACGGGGTCTTCCATAATGCAAATCAAACTCACGTGGTTCATCATTTGTTCCCGACAATACCACATTATCATGCAATCGAAGCTCGAGAGGCGGTGAAACCTATGTTAGGTGACTACTACAAGTACGATGACACTCCGGTGTTAAAAGCCATGTGGCGAGATACAAAGGAGTGCATCTACGTTGAACCAGATGAGAGTACGGAGAAAAAAGGTGTTTACTGGTACTTCAAATAGTTGGAAATCTGTGTACCACAAACTGCCTAGAAAGTAGGCCATGATTGTATGAAAAATAGTTTGAATAAAAGCAAATGTTTGACAAACAACGTTTCCTTGCAACCTGTTGTACGATTTAATCATTTTTCCAGGCTTAGCATACCGGCACATCAACGTCGAGACTTCTGGTATCCCCAGGTCTCTTCACTAAGCAGCCCCTCAAATCTTTTTTTATTTTAATCTACATGTTTAATTATTTATATTGTTCTATTTTATTCCTAATGCAGCAATATCTTTGATTTTTATTCCATCTGTTTATTTTATTTAAATCTTGTTAAATAATGTTTGATAAATCAAAGGAAATGTTCAAAATAGTTTTATATTTACAATTAATTTACAAAATTGTCCATTTTTTTTTAATTTCTAAAAACATGTAAAAATTTTCGTTAATTTTTTTTTTCCGGTTCAATCGGTAACAAATTAATTTTGAATAATTTTGTAAACATAGTTGGTACTTTTCTAAAAAATCTTTATTTTTAATTCTATTATTTTATTAAAATCGTAAATAAATATATTAATTATTAAATTCTTAATTATTAATATTATAAAATAAATATGCTTATAATACATTTTAAATACATAATTATACATATAAAAATAATTACATATATAAAAATATGTATAAATATATTAAATATATACAAAACATGGTTTTATATATTTTAACACCGATTTCAAAAAAATTTTAATGTAAATGTATTTATACGTATTATTAAAAACATTTATAAAAATATAATAAATCAAAAAAAGAGGTAAGTATATATATATATATATATATATATATATATATATATATATATATATATAGAGAGAGAGAGAGAGAGAGAGAGAGAGAGTCAAGATCAAATAAGAAGGAAATTTTTGGTAGGAAGGTAAGAAGTTTTTTTTCCAACATATTTTTTTCGCGAACAACCAAAATAAATCATTAGATAATTCATTTGTATGATGATTCACAAGAAAAAATTCTCAAAAAAAACATCTGGATGATTCATTTATACAATGATTTTGTTGTTATTTACTAAAATTATCATAAAAATGAAATTTTTTTAATTTACTTAAAAATGAATAATAAAGATGTTTTTTTGAGAATTTTTTCTTGTGATTCATTTATTTTATTCGTCAAAAAATTATGTAAAAAAAAAACTTCTTACCTTCCTACCAAAAATTTTTTCTTACCGGATATATATATATATATATATATATATATATATATATATATATATATATATATATATATATATATATATATGGGCTTAGGAAATATATGGCTGTTATGTACCTAAACTTATATATAGAACCCTCCAAACAATGTAGTTTTGATCCATTTATATTGAAACTAATCATGATATCTCTTTTACTATTCTTCATTAATCATGTGACTTACTAAATCGATCGAATTTATTTTTGTTTCTTCATTGTGTTTAAGAACTTAAAGCATTAAAAGTCGTGACCATTTCATCAACCCTACTAAATTCTAAATGAAAACTAATAGAATAAAAGATAAAAGAAGAACATATCATAACTCAATCAAGCTTTTCACAAAATCATTGAATATATTTTTTTCAATTGAAATACAAAACGCTTGAGTTATATTCGTTAAAAACTATTGGTTTTTTATTTTTTTTTATAAACTCAATAATCATTTGCAATAAAAATATACATAATTGATCTTTTTCATACCATAATTGAACTTAATTCAATGGTATTCTATTAAAACAAAACTAAGATCAAATGAAATTGGATTTGTTTTGTTTAAAACTACTTCGTTTAAAAGGTTCTATACTTAAGCTTAGGTACATAACAGCCACATATTCATTTTTCCCTATATATATATATATATATATATATATATATATATATATATATATATATATATATATATATATATATATATATATATATATATATATTTCTGATATATTCATATAGTTTTATATGTTAGGAAACATTTTCAAATCTCATTTTCCATTTAAATGCTTTAGACATGTATTTAATAATACTAATAAATTGTAACACTGTAAATTTCCAAAACAATTTTTCGCATTTATAAAAACATAATTCATTTGTAAATCATAAAAAAAAAACATCATTGTTTGAAACTCAATGCATAACATATAACAATATCCCAAGATCTCGTATCATAAAAATCCCGTGTGTGTACTGATCAAGCCGGTGCCTTCCCGCAATCCTCACTAGTACCTGAAACAAATAACACTAAACATTGTAAGCACAAAGATTAGTAAGTTCCCCAAAATACCACATATAACACATATTAGCCACTCGAGGATATAACTCTGTGGGTCCATGCACCCAAACTCTGTGAACCCTCAGGTTCTAACTCTACAAGCATGCACAGCATAAATCACATAGAAGAATGCAGTACAACAAACAATATATATAAAACACTGTATCACATAACTCTATTTACCTACTCAAGGTAAACTATAGTGAGAAGACTCACCTCGCGTATGTCGGTAAGTTGTAAATCCCTTAAATCACTAGTGCTCGATCTCTCGAGCTATAGTCCTCCTATAACACAATACATCTCTAATTAACACTTTCCCAACTAAAGTTGACTAACCCTATCAAGTCAACACCGGTCAACTCTGGTCAATGGTCAATGGTCAACCCCAACTCGCTGAGTCTGGCGTGGACTCGAATCGGCGAGTGCATTCCATGCACAACCCCAAATGACCTTCTGAGGTCAGATCTATTCCAATAACTCATAGATCCTGTAACGCCCCGTTTATTTAAATAAATTAATAAATGTAAGTCTCGAACTAAGTTGTGATGAATTTTGATAGTTGGAGGTGGTTTAGTAAATTACAGAGTTGATTTGAGAAGGATTTTAGAAGCAGGGGTATGTATGGTAATTTATTGGACTTCATTTTGAAGAATTTTAGATGTTAAGGGGCTGATTTGGAAATTTAAGGGCCTATGATGAAGATATTTTTGGAGTTAGGGGCAATATAGTAAATTATGGATTTAATTTGGAAGGACTTCTATGGGGAGGGACCATTCTTGCCTTTATGGAATGAAGATTGTTGGTAGCAGGTATATAACTGTTCCATTGCTCAAAACCCTAACCCTAACATAAACTCATCAGCCGTCACCCTCCCAAGGACACCTCTAGCCGCCATTGCGACCTTTCCCCCTACCAGTCAAGAGTGTAGCTTGCTGCCTCAACGTTGAATACCACCATATCGCAGCCATCGGGGATGTAAGGAAACCGGAGGAGCCACCGAGACCCTTCAGCCACTGCTTTGGTGAGGCGATCACCATTTGGTCGTTGTTACTCAGCCATCGAAGCCCCACAACTGCAAACAACATTGACGGTGATGAAGTCGAAGGAGCTAGGACCTCGTTGCTGCTACTCCACCTCTTCGCTTCTCATTTTGTTTTGTCGTCAGCCACGACTAGTCACCGCCGCCTCAGCGGCTGTTCCTTTATGTTGTCGACCTCCGTCTTCTCACGCCACCAGGTGTTGGTTCGTTCAAATTAGCTTGTGATGTTTTTGCTGATTACGTTGTTGTGTGTGCGAGATATCCTAGCCTGAGATCAAGAGAAAAACCCACCATGGCGTCCAACCATGGTGGTTGAAGCCTCGAAATCGTTTTCTGCCACCACAGGCCACCGTGAGGTGGTGGCCGTGGGAGTTAATCGTTGGATGAGTGTGTTTTGAAGTTGTTTTGTAATCAGTTAAGGCGTATGAGTGTTATGTTGGTGATGTGTGATTGGGTTTGTTGGTCGGAAAATCAAGAAAAGCCACCGCCACCACCGTGAGGTGGTGGCTACCGCCAAGCACCGTTGCCGGCCACCATGGTGTGGTTGTGTATGTTAGTTAGTGTATGTTAGTGGTGTGTGTGTGTTTATGTTTGGATTAAACATTGTAATTGTAATTAGCTTTGGTTAATAATAAAAATAATAACCACCACCGTAAGGTGGTGGCTGCCGCCGTGAGCCGCCATTGACCACCATTACCTGAGGTGGTAGTGGGTGGTGCCCCACTAGCAAACCCTAATGGGCTTAGAGATTGGTGTTGGGACTATTGGGCCATGTTTGGGTGGAAGACCCTAATCGTTAGCATTGGGCCTTGGACCTTTTTGGACCCACTTTTGGGCCATTAGGATTGGATTGTGAATTAAGCCCAAACTATTCCATGCCATTTATCTAGTAGAGTAAAGAACTTAATGGACTAAGTCCTTAATGGGCTAATTGAGAAAATACTAACATTTGAGAAATTATCAGGACACACACATGGGAATTATTTAATAAGTGAAATATTAAATAATAATCATTGGTAGAAGTTAATCTATGCAATAATGGACTTAATGGATTGAGTCCTTAGTGGGTTAAGCCCTTAATGGGTTATGTGAGAAACACTTAAACCTAATTATTATTTTATGAGAAACCCTAATTTCACTTGGGTTTTGTGTTGGGCCATCCAAGAATAATTAAATGGACTAGAGTAATTAGTTGGCTCTAGGGTAAGGCCCATATGAAGGATTGGGCCCAATTTGGAAAATTAGGCCATAGATGGGCCATAGTTTGGGCCCTTATAATGAGACATGATGGACCGGACTGAGCAATTGGGCCTTAAGGGAAGTCTATGTGGAGGTTTGGGCCCAATTTGGAAAATTGGGCCATATGTTGGGCTTTGATCCCTAGTTGACTTTAGGCCTATGGATTGGACCTGGGGCTTGGGTAAGCCACGCTTAGGGTAATTTAGTAATTATCTAAAGTATGTAATTATAGTTATGTAGTGGAACCCAATTATTCAGTGGGTGTTATTTTGATGTTGAGAGATCAGGAATCTGTCATCTAGCAGCTGGGGTCGAGTCTGTAGGACTTCAGCAGTGTGGGATTGAGTCTGCGGGACTTCAGTAGTGTAAGGTGAGTTTCCTTCCAGTAGGAACGGGTCTAAAGCCACAATGCCGGCCCGTTTAGCTAGTAGTAGTTTCCGGACTTCGGTCCGATGCAGATTTTAGTATGTTTGATGCCTTCGTGGCTCAGACAGGATTTATGTGTTATGTGTTCCGTGCTACAGCCCGATGCAGTATGTAGTTTACGTGTTCAGGCTAGTTGATATGTTTATTCTATGCTTTGTTATGCTTAGTTAGTTTCCGGACTTCGGTCCGATGCAGGGGACAAGGTCCCAGTTAGTTCCGGACTTTGGTCCGATGTAGTTAATTCTGGACTTCGGTCCGATGCAGGGGAGAAGGTCCCAGTTAGTTCCGGACTTTGGTCTGATGCAGTTAGTTCCGGACTTCGGTCCGATGTAGTTTCCGGATTTCGGTACGATGCAGTGGGAAAGGCCCAATATGTGTTTATATGTTATTGTATGGTATGTGGTAGTTTGGGGGAGCTCACTAAGCTTCGTGCTTACGGTTTTCAGTTTTGGTTTCAGGTACTCAGTTTTCAAAAGAGGAGCTTGGAAAGATTGTAGTGCACACACCATTTGTTCGGCTTGGGATATTTATACTCTGATATATATTTGATAGTTGTTAAGATATTTTGAGATACGTTCTTTATGATTCTTATATGACATTTGATGAATATGGTTTTATTTCTAATTTAAAATGAAATTTTTAGACTGTATTTTTGGGATGTTTCAAGTTGGTATTAGAGCCTTGGTTTGAGGGATCCAGGCACATTTTTCGGGTGTGTCTGAACTCAAACTAAGGAATTGGTATAGGAATTTTCAAAAGGAAAATCATTTTTTGTAAAAAGGGAGTTTTGAGAAAAGAAAAAAAAAAGTTTTAGAAAAAGCGAAAAGAATTTTTAGAAAGAGAAGAACTTTGAAAAGAGAAAAAGGGTGTGGTGCATGCAATCAGCCGAGCTCAAGTAAGTACTCCCAAATTACCCATACAAGTTTATGTTATGATTATTAGTTTCAATTTCAGTAGAACAGCATGCTAGAATAGGACTAAGGATCTAGGAGGATGACTTATGTGCTTGCTTTATATGTTCTAGCTTTATGAGAATTGCATGCTAGTATTGAGTAGAGAGTAGTAGGATAGCCTGTTTAGGTTATGCCTGATAGTATGAACTTAGCAGTATATGCTAGTACAATTTATTGTCATGAGAATAGAATTGCTTGAGTGGTTTCCTATGTCTGAATGTTGCTTGCTTTGTGCTTTGTGGGACTCTGAGTGATGGGAGTTAGCCATTAGGTGAATACTTCACGTCACATGTGATCAGGGTTGAATAATCTCAGAGTGTTGGATTTGGCTCTATTGCACAGCTCTTGTCTGAGTCTAACCGTTGTAGGGACGAGTCTTTTACTCGAAGGATTATCTGAGTCTCGTCACATGTGATGGTATTCAGGTAATGGCTAATTGACATTACAAGGAGGCCTTCAACAGCTGAGGACTGGATTTGGTGGAGTCAGATATTTCCCTAGAGAAAGCCTAGGATGAGAGTAGCAGAGATCAGTAGTAGTAGAAGTGACTTGGTGGAGTCGAGGCAGTACTTGAGGAAAATATGGATATAGGTGGAAGGTAGTATGGGCCCGTACTACTGAAAGCAGAGGATTCGTACTCGAATCAAGGAAGGCTGAGATGAGACCAGGAAACTTCTAGTGTGTGAGATCCCTCGAGTTTGGATGAGTTTTGTGGTGTTAGTGATGGTATATTGCCGAGTATAGTGATGTTACAAGGTAGACCAGATGGTAGTTCTGGTGTTGACAGGGGATCAGGCTCGGACTCTGGAGCCGGCAGATTGATGATCAGATGAGGGAGTTCATTTCATCTGAGAATTTTGCACAATATTATTGACCAGACTCCTATGATCCTCAGTGTGATCAAGGAGGGCATTATAGAGATTTTTGATGAGAGGACGAGTGCATTTTGCACTGAGATAGCAGTTGTCACACCCCGAACCAGACGGCGGAAACGTCCGAGGGCTATCCTGACTCAATTGAATACCATCACAATGCATATACATGAAACATAACATTATACATCACCAACATTTGGAATGATACAACTGGTAGCGTTTACATCCATTACATTGTTCCAAAACATGACATTCTCAAAAATAACTATTTGATACTAAATTAAACCACAGCAAAACGTCTTAGAGTACAATTCATCCTCCACTTTATCTGTTACCTGAGAATACAAGTATTTTGAAAAACGTCAACATATGAAATGTTGGTGAGTTCATAAGTAATGTTTGAAATCCAATGTTTGTAATGTTTTGAGAAACACCAGAAAATCCGATATTTTCTGAAAATAGTAAAGTCAAAAATGTGTGAAGATCCATAGGTATGCTTGTTTGTTTCTATACTTGTAAAAATTGTTCATTTAAAATTTGTGTGCATTCCGAATCCGTATGTATTGAAATACCCTAGGAAAACCCGATGTTTTCCTAATTCGTACATTGAAACAATTGCAACGTGTGAAGTTATCGGTACCAGGCGACGTTGGATTATTGTTGAGCATGATTATTTGCTACAAACACACGTTACACAAACGACTAGTCTATAGCGATACTAACGATCCCGTAGGCGTCGTCCGTACTAATCACGTTCTCCAACCGCCCTGACTACGTGTAGTCCCACACCCGAAGAGAACGAGGACACGAAGGCCTCAGTAACTCCATTAGCCGGTTGGGGATAAAAGGTACGAGGGGTCCCAGACCCGCCTCGCATGAAAATGTAGACTTTACTAGCAATACCAAAGGACCCTTGGGGACCAGTAGTATACGAGCCATTGAAAGTCCTTTTACGTTATGTCGGGTCGGTAAAACCCAACACTTCGTAAGAGAGAGGTCTTCGGGCCTTAAGATCAGGTCATTGGGCTAGCTAGGCTCAACGAACAAGATTTTACACTTTTGGGGCCCAAAGGTGGTGCGTAGACGTCTGTGCACACTCGCATGTATAGTGACTTCCCAATCGTTATTAGTTATTGATCGTAGTGTCGTTATGTCATAGTGTCGTCGTGTTAGTAGTTTCGGATTTTTATTGGTTCGAGACCGAACCAATTCGTTTAACAACGACTTTTGGTGTTGTAATGTATTGTATTTCGTCGATAGTCGTGGTACCATCATTTGGTCAAATTGCATGTATTGAACTAGCCTTGAGAATTTTCTGTTTTCAGCCCCTCCTTGTTTGTAAAATTTACTTTTTCAACCCTTTATTTAAATACTTTACGGTTTGGTACTTAAATCAATTTTCTTGACATTTTAATACCAAAAATTATTGAAATAAGTATTTTCCAGCATATTTTTCATAGAAAACAGCTTAAGTCCCTGAATTTCAGTTTTTCTCGGTTATAACCCTTCTTTTTCGAAAGTTTGACAATTTTGGCCCAAATTGAAATTTTTTTGCAACTTTAGTCCCTTTTAAATTTAAAAAGCATTTTAAACCTTTGAAAAGGACTTGGAACGCTTATAGTCCACTGTTTTACAGAAAAATACAGTTTTGGCCCTCCAAAACAGAAAATCTCGCATAATGGGCCTCATTGGGCCTAAAATGTCATTTTTAGCCCATTAAGCTTGAAATTTATGTTTTTAATCCTCTAAATGAGTATATTTCCAGAAATTGCTTTATTGAAACTGTTTTGACATAGTTCAACCATCAGAATTCGTGATTTGTCAATTTAGGCCCTTAAAGTTTGTATTTTTCGCATTTTAAGTCCAAAAATGGTGTTTTTAGCCCAAAGAAATT